AACTCTGGAATGTTTAAAACTGGTTCAGTCAATGAAACACCATTTACAAATGACTTTATTTTATGAGTTGAGATGTTCTTTGTAGCAGGGGGCTCGCTTTTCTGGACAACACTCCAGTCGATTAGATTAGTGTAGTCATCTGCTTCGAAATTAAGTTTCGGCACACGAAAGCGTCTTAGTGACTTACTGTTTTTTTCCCTTGCACCAAGGATTCTTCTGAATGCCAGTTTCCTTATGTGTTCGCGCTCATCAGTCAACATTGCAAGTAGGATGTTTTCGTAATGACTGGAAAAAGCATTTCTCTGAATTACCTCATCCACAATACATCTTAAGTCATTTTTAAGGTGCCTTGAAAAGTTTATTATTCTCTATAGATGGAGTGCCCCTTGAGTACAAGATGATTTCGTCTTGATATAAAATCAAGTAGGAGCGTAAACTTTAACAACAAATGTTGCAAGATTCACTAGATTTTCAGTTGGATCTTCCATTGAAACATATAACCGCAGAACTCTGCTAGCTGTTTTCAGCCAGCGCGAGTGAACTACAGGACCTGGAGTCTTATTTGCCGGATTTATTGGGCATTCACCATTATTCACTGCGTTGCACATTTTATATAAATACATTTGATCTGTGCTTAAATCTTTAAAATTTACATCTGGAAAACTATTTATCTCTATAGTTGAAAAATGCTTTACAGGAAAAGTTTCACAGATTGGAAGTAATTTACCAATTGGACCTGAGAAAGCTTTTGGTCCACTTGTGGTGCCATCTAACTTGCACAAAAGATGTCTAAAAGGGAGCTCATTTGCATGAAGCATGCAAATGAACCAATGCAAAAGCCTATCGAGTTTCATCTCAAGTAAACGGATGACACCGCCCAACGCACCAGTGTTGACATTTGTGTCATCACAACCGACAGCTACTAAATTGTCTAGTGAAATTCCATTCGAATCACAGAAATCTACTATGCCATATGCTACCTTAACTGATGTTCCATTTTCAGGGCTTATGTGACCGACATATATTGAATGGGGCTCTTGAGTTAGTGTAACATATATATATATATATATATATATATATATATATATATATATATATATATATATATATATATATATATATATATATATATATATATATATATATATATATATATATATAGAGAGAGAGAGAGAGATAGATAGATAGATAGATAGATATAGTCGGAGTCGATAAACAAAATCCCGACTCCAATAGTAAAAATTTCTCAGTATTACTGCATGTACAAAACATTAAATTAACCTTATTTTCATACGAAACCTCAGTTCGAGTTCGAGTTGGAGTTATGCTCAAAAAATTTCAACAACTGGAGTCGGAGTCGGAGTCGTTACATTTTTTTTTTACGATTTTACACCCCTGATTGTAACCGTTTTTTTTGATAAAAGATCTTACAATCGAGGTCATTTACAAATAGTTAAAAACTAATCTTAAGTAAATGCCATGAAATAGGATTGATAATACAAATAATAATCATTATAATCATGTTGATAAATTAAAAGTTATAAGAATAATAAGAAAATTATATGGTAATAAACCAATATTAATTTTAAAATAACAATTGATTATAATGCACAGACAGGAAAGTTACAAACAGTTATGTAATGACAAAACGTAGCAACCTACCATGTAACTAAAACAATTACTGCAAAAAAAAGTAACAATGATTTAATAAATATAATAATCTTTATATCCATAATCATAATAAAAACAATAAAAGTAAACTAAATACTTTATTAAAAAATAATAATTATAAACAAAACAAAAATTATTCAATAATACTCATAAATAAAAAAGTGTTATACACAATATTAAATTAAAAAAGTCATATCAAGCTAACATATATCGTCACTCAAAAATAATAAAATTTAAAAAATATTCTTTTTTCTTTCTTCAAAAACGGAGCAATTTTTATATTTTAATTCCTTTTTAATTCCTTTCCATTTTCAAATGTTTTTTTTCTTTTAACATTGGTTTTTTGTCTTTCCTTTTTCTTTTCTTGTTTCTTTTTTCTTTTTTTAAATTTGTTTTTTAATTTTTTTTAGTTTTTTCTTTTCTTTTTTTTTTTTTTTCCTTATTTTTTCATTCTCTATATTTGTATTTTATTTTTTATTCTTATTTTATTCTTTTGACTTTATCTTTCTTTTTTTTTTCTTAAATTTATCTATAAAACTCGTTATAAAAAAGCGTCCGCCATTCCGGAAGCCTCTGCATACAAAGTGTTCCAACTACAATCAAATGTATCTACTAAACCGAACATCAAAAACGAGAATGAAAAAATAAAACAAGTATTAATAACGAAAGTGAAAGTGGTTATTAAAATAATTGAAATAAAAACTGAGAGAAACAATTAAAATCACAAAAGAAATGCACAAACATCTAGTTAGGCAAAAAACAAGAAGACGTCACAAGCTGCAATACAAAGCTAAAAGACAGAAAAAAACCTTAGCTCTTGCTCTCCCAGCAAAATTCATTACGTTGTATGTTTCAGTTCTGTTTCAGTATATTTATGCTTCAGTATACTTATATATCTTTCTAGCTCGACTACTTCTGGCATTTACTTTAAATTCTTCTTCTAAAAACTCATTTACCTTTGCTAAAAATTATTTTTTTTAAACGTTCAAAAGAATTCAAAACGTTCAAAAGACGTTTAAAAGACATCTTTTTTACGTCCTGAGTCGACTGAGTTATCGGGTTACGATGTTCAGTAGTGAGCTGAACTTAACTTTGTGAACCTTTGTATGTGGTCTATGTGGCAAATTGCCGGAGGAGGTTACTGCAATACTTTATATTAAAACATAGTTTATTATTTGTAACTTTTATAATCGAAATTTTTGAATTTGTATTATCAGTCCGTTTTTCTCTATGATAACTTACTCAAACCTTTCAACATAATTTTTTCCACAAACCTGTGTGTTTTTGTAAAGGAACTTTAGAAAAATACTATTAAACCTAGGCAAATCAAAAAATAAACAATTCCTAACAGAAAATAATTTCCGAAATCAATAAAGAGACCCCGCTTGTACTGATGTAATGACGAAACTTAAAAAAAAACAAGCATTTTTGATATAAATCTAAAAACGGAGTCTCTATATAAATATTATGGAAGAAAATATTAAATATTATGGAAGCGTAAGAAAAAACCTATATCAAGAAAAATTTTAAGATCTTGAGATAACAAAGTGAAAAGATCTCCTTTGTGGTATAAACTGAATTATGAACAGTAAAAAACAATTAAATTATGGAGAGCAAGAAACAAATAACTAAAGGAAAACAAACTTCAACCAATAAATATAATAAAAAATATAAAAAATAAAATTTAATATATATATAGAACTTAATACAATAAAACCATTAGAGAAGAAAAAAATCCCAGAGTTCCATAAAATGTTTTTTTTAGTATAAATTGCCCACCCAAATTTTCGATATATTAAATCGATTGATATAATGAACCGAAAACTATATCAACTACATAAAAGTTTAAAATGACATTAATAATAACAATCATTATAGTAATAATAAAAATTCACCTATTTTAAATAAGACAAAGTCATTAATATAAATATACTTTTGAAACTCTAATTTAAAAAAAACTAAATTTAAAACCTTAAAATATATTTAAAAACGTCAAAAATCTGAACGCTTTTTTTCTATGATTAATAATCCTTGGTTAAAGCCTTGAAGGTAGGAAATCTAATACTAATTAGAAATAAAAACTTTTTATGCATTCAAATTTTAAATTATTATTCGGAACTTCATCGTCTTCTTTTTCCTTCTGTTTCTACCTTATCAACCTTATTTTTCTTATCACCATTCATTTTATGATACTATTATCTGTAAGCCTCCGTCAAATTCTTTTTTCTATTTTTTAAATGATCATTTTGCTTTGATAACTTTAAATACTGATATGTCAACGATCACAATTTAACTAAATAATGTACATAAACAACTGAAAGTTATTTTTTATTTTTTTATTTTAGGTGTCTTTAGAAGGATACTCAATATAAAAGGATACTCAATGTTTGGAGACTTGGTATTTCCTTTAATTTCTTCACCTATCATCACACGCAGAATCCTATCAAGCACGTGACGCTGGCAAGAAATGAATAACAGTCAACACCTTTTTTTACCAGTGTTAATACTGATTGTGTCAGCCACTATCATCGATACAACATTCTGTAAACTATATTCCTCAAGAGCTCGAAACCTCTAAATTTCATCAGTAATAGTTATTGCCTTTCCATCCTTTAAGCACAGTGCAGCTAATTTCAATTCTATTCATTCTTTTTTCAATACTACAACCTGACATTCGTTTTCATTAAGGCGCTTTCCATCAAAATGTAGAGACCACTAATCAGTATTTAGCTTTGTCATCATCTCTATCTTCAGTTTAGAAGCTTTCCTAGATACTAACGTATAAACTCAAGCTTGACTGTATATATAATATTGGCCGCATGGAATTGTCTTTAACCATCATAATCTCTACATTGTTGAATTTGTTTAAAGAGCGTTGAGAAAAAATAATCCAAGCAAGAGTTACAAGTTGATATAGAGTGCGCTAATTCTCATTCTTGTTTGTAATTATAAACTTTTTTTTTTGTTAGCTATCTTCTAACTATGTAAGCTATCTTTTGTTCTTTTATTTTAGTTTTTTGCGATCCCATTAAAATAAAAGATGCTCAAAAAACAATTATTAGGACGGAATAAACTGACACCATAAACAGATAAGCAACGTGCAGTTCTTTATCCGATCTTTTGTATAAATAAAAAAATAAATTCTTTTTTTTTGGGATAAATGAATTAATTTGTTAAATTATTAACTATGGGTAAAAAAAAAAACAAAAAGTGGTTAAAAAAAGTTGTTTTTTTTAATTGTTTTTAACTTTCAAAGAATTATTAATTTTTTGTATTTTTTTAATTTATTTCATTGACTGAAATTTTCAAAAACGTTCAAAAAAGCTTACCGATTTCCACACTTAATGCCGACTCAACATTTGAGATGTTTACATTAAACCCAATTGTATCATGAATATTAATTCCGAAAATCGTCTTGTAGTTGTAAAAAAATATACCAACAGCTTCAATTATGTCAATATTGACAGAACACTTGATCCCTCTTCCTGATATCGGCGTTAAAAATACTTCTCCAAAATCTATCTTTGACATATGCAGACTAATAAATAAAAAAACTTGTTTTTAAAACTTTTACTAAGTTTTAAAAGCATTTTTTTAATAAAAAAATAAAAAAACGATCACACTTGGCGCAAGTACAGCAACACCTTGCGTAAGTATCCCTTAGCGTAAATTAAAAAAGTCGCCACACCTAGCGTAAGTATAAATGTAGTTTACCATATTTAACAGTTAGATTGTTTTCACATATAACAAAATTTTTATCAACAACTGCTAATTTTCTGTTTTACTCACAAATATTGAAACACTGTTACTTGTTTTCACCTCCACTTCACTCGCACCCTGCTACTTACACTTGTAGGTACAAGGTTGTAATGATTTTCCAAGGTGTGAAATTAACACGCGCTACATTAGTTTCTTCTTCTTTTTTTGTTTAGTAATTTAAGCGCTTCAAGATATTTTACGTGGTGTTCTGTGATAATTTTAGGTGGTACTTTGTGATAAAACCGATAGGTGTCTTATCACAGAGCACCACGTAAAAGCATTTAACCAGGAAGTTTACACTTTCTTTCAAACAAATGTCGTTTAACTGGTCAGAACTGACCAGGTAAGCGAATAAGACCCCGTCTCCTCCTCTTACGCGTAAGATTAAAATTACTTTTGTAGTTTAAATTCCAAGTTTCCACTTTCTCCATTGTAGTTTATCATCTCCGAGAGTAAATCATCTCGCAAATAGGGAAGACCTTCTTTAACAGCTAAAAAAAATGTTAGATTAAAATATATATATATATATATATATATATATATATATATATATATATATATATATATATATATATATATATATATATATATTTTAATATATATAAAAAAATGTTAGATTAAAATATATATATATATATATATATATATATATATATATATATATATATATATATATATATATATATATATATATATATATATATATATATATATATATATATATATATATAATCAAAATATTTTATTTTAAATATTTCATGGTAATTACAATTTTATTAACATTATTTCTTTCTAAATATAAATGTATTTATCATTAATATTTATTCACTTGTCGAATTTTATAATAAATATATATACACTTATCGTATTTAGTATTAATGTAAATTAACTGCATTTCTTTAAAAATATTTAACTTACCATATTTAATTTACTCACCATATTTTATGCCATTTTCCGTCAGCTTTAATTGGATTCCAGGGTTCTCACAAAGCGAAAAACCCAAAACTACTATTAACAAAAAAACTAACAATAGTAAATTTATCATGGTTCTTTTCTTAAAATTGAATTTTTTTTTAACATTAATTTTAAGTCGCTTAACATATGGTTGTTTACCTTAGGAAGCAATTCAATTGAAATATTTTATTATTTGTTTATGATATGTCATAACATCCGCCCTATTATTTAATTCATTTTAATGTTTAAAAATGTATTAATCTATCAATAGATTTTTATTTTATTTTTTATTAATTAATCTATCAATAAGATAATAAAAATATTAAAACTTATAAAGGTTAAGCTTGTAAAACTTGAAAAGGTTTAGCTTGCAAGTCATAAAAAATTATAAATATAATTAAAAAATCAGCAACATATGTGTGGAATTTAGATTTTTTAAATTTTAGAATTTTGTGAAGTTACGCACTAATAACAAAACACTAAAAACTGTCGATTATTTATTTTTTGATTTTTAATGACGAATTATTTTGATTAAAGTAGATGTTTTTTTAAATCTTTATTTCTTTACGTAGATGTTTTTTTAAATCTTTATTTCTTTACTTCAAACCTTAATATATAAAACAATTTTTTTTTCTTTACACCTTAATATATAACACAATATTTATTGCTTTAGTTTTATTTGTACAATTTATTAAGTGAATAATAAATTTTCATAATGCCTTAAAAAGTGCTATTAAAAATAGCACTTTTTAAAAATTAGCATTAAAAATAAACCAAGTAATAACTAGAAACTTTGAAAAAAAGCTCTATTATTGAACGCATTATACATTTTTAAACTTCGTAATCGCAAAACCAAGTTGCAATTCAAGTCAAACTACATTTATATACTTAACAATAAAAAACAATGAAGTAAGTTTTATGAGCATATATTTTAAACCAGTCTTTTAAATTCTGGAAATTCTGAAGAAACAAAGTATGATATTTAAAAAAATAGAGGAAGAAGAATTTTAACTAAACATCAGACTAATTGTATAAATTACTACTTTTATACTATTAGTTTTATTGACCTGTATTTTAGGTGATAAAATAATATTTACATAAATACTGTTTTTAGACAATTTAATAGTTGACATACATCAGTAATTTTTTTATGACCTAATAGGAGTATTGATGTTGTTTATAAAAATAGATTGGTATCGTTAGCACCGTCATTAGTTTAGTGGCTATGAAAAAAACTATCAGTATAAATGAGAAAAAATAGACATTCTAGTTAGAATCTGTTAGGACTCCACAACTTGGATCTAAGAGAACTGAAAATGAGAAAACATTGATTTGGATAAACTGTTTACAATTACATATGTATGTATGTGTGTCACACACATACATACATATGTATGTCTCGTTTGTTATATTTATTTGGTTATATTTATAATGTCACTTATTGGCTCTAGCCAATAAGTGACATTAATATGAAAGAAGGCGTGTAAACTTCCCGCGAAAAAAACACGGCTAATCCTATTAAGTACTTAATAAGTCGTATTGGTAATACTTACTAAGTTCCTGACGAGTACTTGTGTGAAACTTATTAATTATACTCAGGTTTTTGTTTGGCCATCAGCCGTATAGGCAAGTTTTAGTTAGAACTATGTATTAATAATAAGCTTTTTATTTGGCACTTGGTTGGATTAGCTGGTTTTGGGGAGAACTTAGTAGGAATTTTTAGAATTACATTTTACAGAATTTTTAGAATTACAATTTACAGAAACTAGGTGTTATTATTTGTGTTTTGAAGATTACATAGTTAAGTTAGTAAGATTATTTAAGTATTAGCTTGTATTTAAAAACATTTAAAAAAATACAATAAATAACAATAATCAGTTATTTACTAGTAATTTTGATGGTGTCAATGGAATAATTCTACACATATTATTCCATTTGTCTTCATCTTTTATTCCACCATAACTGTAACTATAATGAAATACAAAAATATTAATGTAAGTAGACAAAATATAATAATTATAAGTACAATAATAAAAGCTTATTCAACATAATTACATACATGCATACATACATACATACATACATACATACATACATACATACATACATACATACATACATACATACATACATACATACATACATACATACATACATACATACATACATACATACATACATACATACATACATACATACATACATACATACATACATACATACATACATACATACATACATACATACATACATACATACGTGACAACGTCATTTTGGAAATGTTCAAAACCCAAGTTTTGTTAAAGCATGACTATAAAAATATTGTATGGAAAAATGTTGTTTCAGATTTAGCTGACTTGTCATACGTGTGATAAAAAGAAAAGATGGCGTATAATATAATCAGTAATTTTATATTTACATCATTTTTGAAAACTTACCAAGTACTTACTAAATATTTCGTTTAATCCTGAAAAGTACAAAGTACTTACTAAGATTACTCAATTAACATTAGCAGAATAATCCGAATCTAATAAGTTTAGCCGTATTAGGCAAAAACTTAACAGTATAAGTCGGCATTGGTCCACTTAACAGGAAGTTAGACAGTTTCCCAGCAATATAAGCCGGTTTTTTTTTTTTTTTTTTCTGGTATCATATCTATTTCTATTGCATTTAAAAAACTCTTTTGAAAAATGTGATGGGAGAAACCCAAGTTTACATTTAAACATGAACAGCAAATTTTGATAGATGATAATTTTATGGACGTTAATATTATTTTATGCATTAAAAAGTTTTAGCAAATGTTCAGCATTAGCAAACTTATCTTTATTAAATACAAATTTTGCAGCATGTTTTTGATGTTTATAGAGCACCACTTGGTTGGATCAATGGGTACATACCCATGCTATATTACGTGTAAAAGGTTTGAATAAAAGAGAAATTTTCTTTAAATTTTTTAAAAGTTTTCTTTTACAGCTCCGTTATAAAAATCATATCAAAATTTTTAATTCAGTACTAATTGTTAAAGCTGTAAAGCAGCTGTTGCTAAGCATATCTATACCGTTGCTAGGGTATTTTTTGATAAAAATTTGGCGAAATAAGGCTACTTCTAGGACTTCTGTAGGCTTTTAATCATCCAGGCGCATGATTTTTTTTTTTAGATATTGGAAGATGCATGTTTAAGGAAATTTAATAAGTTATACTTTTTATGGCAGGTCTAAGGTCACGGTTGTTATAGGTAATTTATTAAGGCGCTTTGAACGCAATAAGTGATTTTTCGCAGGTTACTCCTTCCTAGGTCCTTGCATGCACATAAAGTTTGTTCCATATAATCAATATATGCCTTAGTGTCTTTCAAAAACACTTTAGAAAACTACAAGTAATGGCCTTACGAGATATTAGAGCTCAAAGTTAATGTAAAATTTCAAGTTTAGTAGTTTATGACCATGATTTCTAAACAACTAAAAATGTAACCATGTTGAGTGAATAATAAATATTAACTTAATAATATATTATAACTTAATAATATATTATTAAGTTAAAATGAGTAAATCAGTTGAATATGTCTCCATTGTAATGATGAGGGAATATCTTATTGTTCAAAAAGAGACCATAATGTTGTTTTTCAAAGAAACAGTTAAAGACTTTAATCTAAAAGTTGAAGCTCTGCAACAAAATATTAACGGCTTAAGTCATGAACTTCGTGAAATAAAAACTGGTATGAACTTTATTGGTGATCTGAGTGAAGAAAAAATAAAGATGCACAAAGAAAGAGTTAAACAAGTAAGTGATGAGTTGTTTAATATTAAAAAAATACAAGGTAAAATTTTGTCAGATAATAGTGAGTTAAAGTTTAAAAGTGTTGACATAGAGGATAGGAATCGAAGGTGCAATTTACGAATTGACGGTCTTAAAGAAACTATTAATGAAAAAGAGTGGGAATCTACGAAAAAAAAAGTTAAAAAACTTTTTCATGAGAAACTCGGATTAAACAGAATATTAAAATTGAACGTGCGCAGAGAGTTGGGTTTGCTAATAACGAACAATTGTACTCAAACTACATGACTTTGAGGACAAAAAAATTATCTTGGATAAAGCTTTTTATCTTAAGACTATGCTTTAAGTTCATCATGGTTGATGAACTTAAAGCATAGTCATAAGAATACATAGTCTGGAAACACGGACCATTTCCATTGTTTTCCGATTTTAACTTCACGACGACCCGGCGAACCTGCACAAGTTTATAATAATGGCAAGTTTTAGCAGCGATTTTGAGACAAATAGTGATTTGGAATGTTTGTTTGACGTGATTGAAGGAGGATTTTTGAAAGATGACATTAAGTTAGTTACAGATATAGATTCCGTTGTTTCTGATATCGATATTTATAGAGATAATGGCAAACAACATGCATGCACTCAGTGTCCTAAACTATACAAATAAAACTATACAAAACTATACAAAAAAAACTAGAAAAAAATAGAAACAAAAACTATTTATGTAAGAAACATAAATAATGAATCAATTGTCACTTTTCGCGACCTCCTACAAGAAATAAACTGGAAACTATTGACTGATTGCAATGATGTAAATAATGGCTATGATTTTTTTATTCGCGTGTTTACTAAGCAATACGAAAAATCCTTTCCAAAAGTTAAAAAAATTATTAATTCTAAAAATTTGCTTAGTCCGTGGATGACGAAAGGACTCATTAAGTCATCAAAAAAGAAACAAAAACTTTACCAAAAATTTTAAAAAAAAAAGAACTACAAAAATGAAATAAAATACAAAAAATATAAAAATTCTTTCGAAAAGTTAAAAAAGCAATCAAAAAAAATTACTATTCCTTATTGCTTAATAAAACATTTGGAAATGCAAGAAAAACATGGAATGTAATTAAAGAAATAATATGCGTAGGAAATGTAAAAATTGATAATTTCCCAAAAAGATTGCAAAGTGATGGTAATATAGGAGATGCTTTTGTAAATAAAGAAATTGCAGAAACATTTAATGACTTTTTTATAAATATAGGGAAAAAACAAGCCAGTGCAATTCCTGAGGGGAGTAAATCGTTTGAATCCTTTTTGAAAAAATCAGATTCCATAATGGATGAGTCGGAGCTTCTGGTTGATGAACTTCGGCTAGCAGTTAGTATGTTGAAAACAAAT